GCTGTTCCTTCAGGACGCTCCCAAGCGTCAGTTGAGCCTCTGCCAGAAGAGAGCTGTGTGAAAACAAGCCCGGATGGTTTGTGTTGTTTTGTTTTCTTAAAACTCATGTACTGGTTGAGAGGCCGCTCCTGAGAGAATCATCCTGTGTAGTTTCAGGGCCGTACGATTTGGGTAAAGCTGTTCCCACCTTAGCGTCAGCTTTTAACTGCCACCTGTCTGCAGGTCAAACCTGGAAACCCCTCCTCGGGGTTGCTTTGTTACCTTTGTGTTGTCTGGGGACAGCTTGCTCGTGGTTAAGAAAATATACTTTCCATGCTTTATAATTTAGCAGTAAAAAAAAAAGACTTTGTGAAACAATTTCAGGGAGCTTGTAACTTGGTTGCAACCTTAAATTTGAGATAGATAGATAGATAAAGATATATATATAAATCCTTTTAAATTCTGCCCCAGCTTCTTACAGAAACTGAGAAATTGTATTTTGATGCTTTTACAAGTACTAAGGAAAAGACCAAAGACAAAGAGAATTGAGGGATTGCTAGTTGCCTAGTTCTTCATAGCCTGTATTCTGAGTAGATCATGGCAAGGCACAGTGATATGTCTTTAATACTACTGCTGTGTTTTAATTTTAAAGTACTTAAAATTCCAGGACCTTAGGATGTATCCACCCTTCCTCCAGCATCTTAGTGCTGTAAATATGACTGATTTTAGTCTTCCCTTTCTCACTAGTACAGCTTCCTGTGTGCAAGTGTCAATTACTCTGCCCCATGTGACATCATTCAAGAGACTGACAGAAACATTGGTCTGGGTTTCAGTACCTGTCATGTCTATTTCAGTGATCTGGTTCTAGAAAAATATTAGCTCACTGTATTAAACTGTTCTAAAAGCATTGTATTTTAAGCTGCAATCTGGAAGTTCTTGCTAGGAAAACTTCTGGAATTTTGTACTTCTACAGAGAGTTGCAGAGTTAAAAGGCACAAAGCAGGCAGTAACTGCTTCAGCTGCTAGCACATCATCTCTTCCTGTCAAGAGAAAAACTGTTGACACAGAAGATGTGGAGTTGAAAAGAGTAAAAGGTAAGGAGAGAAACACAGTTATCAAGCACTTGCCAGAATCTAGCTATTTCATAGCTTGAATGGTTTGTTGTTGTTGTTGTTTTTCCCATGGAAGTGAGTGTAAATACACAAGATGGTTAATTTAATGTCAGCCTGTTTTTTCTGGAACGGGATAAAGGCTGTCTTGCTCTTTGTGAGTTCACTGATCAGGAGAAAACTACACTTCTGGTAGGTTACTTAGGTTTCTCCTGGGTTGTTGGATTAAATTAGGTCATGGAGCTGGGGGCTTGATCCAAACAGAACCAGAAAGAGTATAAGTTAAACAGCAGAAGAGGTTGCCCAGAAGTAGTGCAACTCCTTTTCAGTGGGATCAAGCCACTGGTTTACCTCAAGCCATGTGTGAAAGCTTATGCTAAGGGAAAGATAGTTCTTTTTTCTCCCTTGGTGCTACTGAACATGTAAATACATTATAAATATATGAAAGTGTGCCTTTGTGAATATGCAGCTGTACTAGGAGTTTGTTTGAGGGATATTTCTTTTAAATGCATGGAGTGTAAGAGGTGACTCTTGGCTGTTACACAGGTACAGAGGAGAAGCCGCATACGTCTACATCTGGGTAAGTAGATCTTGTTATGTGTGAGTTTTTTTGTAACTGTAGCAGCTACTGCATTCTCACCCTGTTCTTCCTCGTCTCCTTCCTAGCCTAGAAAGATTCAGAGAATCAGCAGATCACTGCTTCTGCTCATTTTCTCATGTGGGTGTATGTCTCTGGCCATGGCAGCATCTTCCTCAGTGCAGATGAGAAAATCATGGCATTAACTCTGCAGTCCCTGACAAAAGAGGAATTCTTTTACTGCCAGGCTTCTAAGAATTAATATGTGGTGGTATTACACAGTTTGCTAGAATGAAAATAGCTGGCATGTGGCATGTTCTTCAGTCTTTAATGCAGGCATACTGCAGTCTGAAATAAGAAAAATTTTAAAGGTATATTTAAATGTACATTTATATTGTAGTATATCTAAATGTACGTTTAAAAGATATTTATTCACAAAAACTGCTAACAAATGTCAGCAACAGAACATTATTAAGATACTTTTGTCACTTAAAATGAATGTCATACATATCATACAGTTGAACTCTTACAAATATAGGAACGCATTTGACTTCAGGGGATTGGGTTGAGTGTCCAACTGCCACTAAAGACTTCTGATGGTATTTGGACATCTTTGTGGGGTTGGTATGTCACATGTGGCCTGCAGGTCTCCTGTTCAGGTCTTCAAAGTAAAAGTTGCTGTTATCTTGCATAGATATTATGGGCCATTACCTTGACAGTAGAAGACACTTAACCTTGTAGAAACTTTGTGTGTGCAAAATTAAAAGTCAAGAGGTTTGTTCATTATTAAGTTGATTGGTATGATTATTTTAAAAGCTACTTGGAAAAATGTATGGCTTAGAGGACTGCAGCTATTCTGAGCAATCTGGGTTTTCTCATTGCTGAGTCTGTGTGGCTCTTCTAAGCTGCAGTTCTGAGCAGCAGTAGGTACCCGAAATAAGTATTTGTGTTATACAGGAAGGTTGTTGAAGTTTACATGACATTAGTGTGGCTGCTGAACTATTAATTTTATATTTAATGTGTTCACAGCAGGAAAGCTGATGCAAATAATTTTGTGGAAATAGAATTACCTAAGCTACCATTCCTCCAAATGCTCTTTGTTGTGGGATATTTTTATTAATGTTTCTGATTTAGGTTTATTGAATTATTTGAGTATTGAACTATGAAATCGGAATTGAAATGTTTTCTTCAAAATTAACCTGAACATTTCTGGGAAACTTCAAATGAAAGCACCAAGTGTGTGCTGCCTTCAGAGAGCAGTTCCCTTGGTAGCTGCACAGCGTGGGGTATTGCACAATATCTGAAAAGTCATTGCTCACAGGTTGAACAGGCTTGGATGCTGGACTGCAGCTGATTTTGGCAAAGTCTGAAATAGTTATGTTGTGTATTCTTTACTAGGCTCCCAGCAGATTTTTTTGATGCAACGGAGCAACATAGTTCAAAGGAACAGCTTCTAAAGCGTCCAGGTCCCAGTTTATTGTCAGGAAATTACGATGATGATGATGAAGAGGATGAACAAGATCAATCAAACAAATCTTCTGTTGCACATAAAACTGAAGTTCCACCTCCAGCACAAGAAGTAATAGCTAATTCTTTGCCTGCAGGTAATGCTGGCTGAAACAGTAAGTGATTCAGTAAGGGGAATCTGCATTTTAACTCATGATGGAAGGGGTTTCATTTATTTTTATAATTATTGCTGTTAGCTGCTCTGAGCATGTAATACTGGAGGTGAAGGAGATTCTTTGCCAGTTTGTTCTTGTGCAGTGTTTTCTTGGCATGCTTGATTATTATGTGTTCTAATTGTTTGAGGCTATCAAGTGAAATTGGCTGTTCCTCCCTTGATTCAGTAAGGTATTGAAATTCCTGTCTAGTCAGAATTTTATAAAGAAGCTTGAACAGTTGGGTTTTTTTGTTCATATGCTCCTGTCCTTTCTTGTAGACTTCTTTGACAGCAAAACTACAGCTGCCTCTGTAGTTTCCCATTCAGGATCCATACAGAAAGCAGAGATACAAGAAAAGATAGTGGAAAGGTAAGCAGTCAGTTCAAATGTTGAGAGATTTGGGAACTGTAAATAAACATTATTCTTCCAGAAAATACAGATTGTGATCACTTAGAAATCTGTCATATTGTCAACTTGTATTTGGAAGAGACTCTGTGTATGTCAGCCTTGAGCAGTATTCCAGACAGGTGTTTCACACCCTAGGGGCAGGATAAGGGGTGTCTGTTAGACATCTCTATTCACAAATTTTAACACAGGATGCTTTGGAAGCTTCATGTCAGCCACAGCTTTGAACTGTTTAATGAAAACCATGTGCTTGTTCTGTTGTAATGTCTCGGCTTACTGGAGCACTTCTTTACACTATGCTTTAGGCTCTTAAAAGTAGAAACTGTGCTGTTAAAATGTTTGGGTACTCCACACACTGGAGAGAATAGCTTATGAAGCTTAAGCTATAGCTCTTGTACCAGCAGTCAGATTTAAACCTGTTACTGCAATTCCTTGTAAGTTAGGTGAGACCGAACTGAAGAAGCAAGTTTTGATGGTTGTAGGTAAAACTCAGGGTGCAAAAGATCTTGCTCCATTTCTAGGTCCTTTTATAAAAGATTGTGGATTTTATTCGTGGCTATTTTTAACTCTACAGTAAAGCAGGTTGTAATTTTTAACTTGGGATAATATTAATTGTTAATCAAAAACATTTCAGGAAAGAAAACACTGCTGAAGCTTTGCCAGAAGGCTTCTTTGATGATCCTGAAGTGGATGCAAAAGTAAGTGATCTGTCTTTTCGATGCTGCTGGATTTATTTCTGCCATTTGTGATGATTTTCTGAGTAGCAAAGGTGTTTTTCCAGGTAATTAGTCATACCAGAATGTAAGAAAATGACTGAACTGCGTAGAAAACAGTACACTATTTCGATTGGAAGGGATGTACAGAGACCACCCAGTCCTGCTGCCTGCCCAGTTCAGGGCTGACCACAAGTTAAACCCTGTTATTAAGGACGTTATGCAGATGCCTCTTAAATACTGACAGGCCTCACCCACCTCTCTAGGAAGCCTGTTCCAGCGTTTGACCATCCTCTCAGTAAAGAAATGCTTCCTGGTGTCCAGTCTAAACCTCCCCTGGTGCAGCTTTGAGCCTTTCACTGTGTTAATTAGAAAACATGAAAAGAGACAGAGGTGGGCAGGAAGAGTTAAATCTCAGAAGATATCTCAGAAGAGTTATCTCTCAGAAAATACTTTTGATAATGATTTTTTGTGTCTCCTTAAGAAAAGCAAAGGAATGGTATTAGTTGGTTAAAATGCTGGACTGAGATTTGGACAACCCCCCTGTTACTTTTATTTCTTTGAATTGTCCCAGGAAAAGCATTTCCCATAATTTATACATCCAGTTCTGCTTTGGAATTGAGGATATGAAACCAGTTCTCTCATGTCCTTTGAGAGATCATGCTGAAAAGTGTGACTGGTAATGTGCATCTTGTTAGAATGAAAATAGCTAGATTATGGTAAACACCGTTATCTCTAGTACTGACACACTACAACAGTGAACTTCATCTTCATCCCTCTTGTCTCTTATCACTCTGGGTTTTTTTGATGCTTGGAAAAGAAATTTGGGCATTTGATGTTTTTCTCAAAAAGAGACCACAATTAAAAACCTCGAAGTTTTGATCAAAATAATTCATACTTCCTTCAGTCTGTACAGTACCAAATGAAGACCAAAATTGAAATACTAACCTTTTTTGGTTTATTTTGTAAAATTGCCACAGATGTGATGGCTTTCCTGCTTGCTTTGTTGAAATAATAGTGTTGTAGGCTGAAAGTCTTTTTTATCTTCCTCGAGTGTATTTCCCTGTTGTTCATACTGTGGAAAGGTGCTGGTGTATCTGAATTAGATTGAGAGGTTGAGCCATGATGTCTGATTTGGAGACCTTTATGTTTCAGTTAGTCCCACTGTCCCAATTAGAAGCTTTCATTATTAGAAGCCGTTATTTGCTCTGGCAAGATTCTTCAGGCATCACTCATGCCCACATGTTGGCATATGTGAATAGTTTTGAATAATGACATTTTGAATATTGAAATAGGTAGCTGAAAAAGCCATTTTTTTTTTTTTCCCAAATAACTTCATTTCATCATGAACTGGGAAGCTTGTACACAGCTGGCATGCCTAGCAGGCAAAGGAGAGTCTGACTGTGTCTGTGAGGACACTGGTTAGTGATCTTTGTTCAGGTTATCACCTCGGCTGATAAAATTTACAAGTGGTTACATGTTCCAATAAGCTCTTCCCTGAATTACTTGCAGGTGTTGTTCTTCTTAACTAGCCTTTCCTAAGTCTAGCTAATACGTAGGGGAAGGAAAATGTGACATCACTTTTATTGAGATGGCTGCAGTGATGCTGTGTTGGAATCATACACAAAATTATTTTCAGGATTAATAGTATTTGGAAGGGAGATGGTGGGCTTGAAAAATGTTGGTTCTTTACATCAGGAATTTTCTAAAGCATATAAATTCTGGATTAGATAAATATTTCAAGGAAAAAATAATATCTTTAGTGTTTAAATTTATTGTAAGAAATACAAATAATTATGAATTACAAAAGACAACCACAATGCATAATAACACAGTACATACACATGATAGAAATAATCACAGAACAGAAGAATGAAATGATGACTTTTTACTTCCCAGTATGTAGTTTGTTTGGAAGCTTCTAATATAAACTTCTATTCTATAAACTTATTTTATACTACTGGATTTTGTACAGTTGTTGAGGAACAAAATATACCAAAGTTTTGTCTTTACCATGATGATGACTGATGTGTTACCAAAAGAGGAATGAATAAAGGAAAAGTAAAACTAATACGAAAAGATGGTGTCATGAGTTACTCTGTTCGAACTGCTTGGCTCTCCTAGCTGTGCAGTGTACACCTAGTCCAGAGCCAGGCATAGTCTGTCATCTAACATGGGTTATGTGCCACATCTTCCAGCCTTGAATCATGGAAGTTTTGGTTACACAGGCAGATTATCTTGTTTATTTGCTCGTATTAAAAGCAGAGTCTGGTTTTGATTGCCTTAGCTGTAGATCTGAAATGCATTCTCAAAGCTACTACTTTTCCAGTCTTCTTGTCTTATTAATTAATGCCACCTACCACAGAAGAAAAAGCTTTGCATGTCATTAATATTGGTATGTAGTTGTACTATTTCTTCTGTTAGCCAACAAAAGTAGAGTAGATTTGAAATAGTAAGAATATCTAACATCAGTCAGACTAGTGACCGAATAATTTGATAGTTTATGTTGTGCCTAAGGTAAATATTTCACTGATTTTTGGCTTGAGATATCTACTATATATGATTGAACAGGCAGTTTACAGAAGAATTTTAAAGTTATCACCTGACATAGTAAAATTACAGCCCATCAAATCAACAGAATTAGTCACTGTTGTTAGTCCAGACATTCCACAGTACCTGTTCTTAGCCAGTGATTCTGTAATGCTGCAGTGTTTTAATCCAGGAGTCAAGTCAGACTTTTCCTCCAGAATCGTGCAGCTTGCACTCTCTTACTGCTATGCATTACTTAGACTGAAGTGCACAGACTGATTTTCTGAGGACTCCTGTTTCTCTGGGTGTTTTGCAGTGCCCCGAAGAGTCACTACACACAAATTGTTACCAAGCCTGGTTCTTTTCATCTCCCTTAGGTGCGAAAAGTCGATGCTCCAAAGGATCAGATGGACAAAGAATGGGATGAATTTCAAAAGGCAATGCGACAGGTCAACACGGTAAGTCATGGGATCTATTTTTATTGATTCTAAATACTATACACAATAAGGAAAACAACAGTTTCATGCAGCTCTGCAGAATGACTGACAACTGCATTTGTCAGCTGTTTGTTGCAATGCAGTGTGTGGTTAAATGCACTTTATAAATGAGCAAAGGGTTCCTTCTATTTTCTTCTTAAGGGAAATTAAGTTTAAAAAACTTTTGCTCAGGATCCAGTCATGAGTGTATGTATCTAGTTACATTTGTTAAATTGTATTGAAATGAGACGATGTATAGCACACATCAAGGTCCTGTATCCAAACAGGGCATAATTGTGGACTCTTCTTCAGATGAGACATGTTCATATTTTAACCTTGAAAAGCATGGAACAAAATACCACCTGTTAGTCTGTCTTTTTCAGAAGTAATCTAAAGGTGTAGGTAACTTGGGTTTTATGGTTAATTTAGAGGTACTGGAAAGGAACCCCAAATTTTGGGAAAGTGACAAGATTTTGTGTGTGAGACCCATAAGTGGGCCACAGTTTTTCTGTACTTCCATTCTTTTACTGTTTAGCATTGCATTTGAATGTCTTCCTGGAACAGTTTTTTCATCTGCCCTTTCATACAATATAAAACTGTCGCTAAAGATACCTGGTGATTTCAATCTAGGGAGTATTTGCTAGTTTTTAAATCTTAATTATAAATAATTGCTTATATGTCAACTGTTAAGAAAAGTGGTGCAAAACAACCTTATCGTTGCTCATTTTAAAGTGGTCAGCACTATAAACAGAGCGAATGTTCATACAAAAGCAGTGGTGGATACATTTTGCTAGCATTAGCCATTCAGATAATTCTTCAGCTTAGAAGGAATCTTCTCAGTTATGCGTGGACCATTGATTGCATAGCATCTCCCAGACATTCAGATTTGAGAAAGTATATGCTGAAAAAAATAACAGGTTAGAAACACTTCGGGATCTAGTGGGAATATTTAACCAATACTTTCAATAACTGTGTGTCATTAAGTCCCAAGCATTGGGATATAGCTCCTATTTCAACCTCAGACTTTGGATGCTCATAGTTTGCTCAAATAATAGAAAAATTCAAAATGTTAACCCCATAGCAGCCAAACTACTTCTAGTTTTAGGGAAAAAAAAATCCATTTCAAACTAAACCAGATTGGATTTTTTTTCTATATTTGCCTCCAGAGTCTTTTGTGAAGGTGGGAGTATATGTATAGGAGATTCACATTGGCTTGAGGTAGAGGGGAGGAGGGGAAGACACAGACATCAAAAAGAAGCAACACTGGAACTCGGGATGGAGGTGAATTTTCTTAGTGCTTTTCTGGTTTAGATTTCAGAAGCAATAGTGGCAGAAGAGGATGAGGAGGGACGACTAGATCGTCAGATTGGAGAAATTGATGAGCAGATGTAAGTAGATCAATTTTTCCTCAAACTTTCTGTTCTCCAGCAGTAAGTAATGGATCACTATTTGACTAGAGTGATAAAAACATTTTTAATTTTAATCTTTTCTGATACTACTTTTCATTAATCACTTAAATATTTGAAGGACAAAGACAGACTCAAATTGCAGAACGATTGCTAATAAAACCAGAAATTTTGGTGCAGAGTTGGGTAATTTATTTGCAAAGAGAGATGGCACTGGAATTACTGAAAGTACAGCAAGCAGGCATGGGCAAAATAAAGCAAGAGAAGCCAAATTCTTTGAACAAACTGTCCCCCTTCCCCATGTCAAATACCTTAATTTGTATTTCTCTGTGAATTCTGATTGATGCAGGTTTTATGTGAAAATTTTTAAAAACCAAGGCTGATACTCTGCCCTGCAGTTAAAATCTCAGTAGTGAGATCTGTTTTCACCATCCATTTGCTGTACTGGCAGTGTCCTGTTCTGTGACTAACTCTCCTTGTTTCTAATAACAGTTTACTTAAATGTTTTGTTGAATGATGCTCTTGATTACATGAAGGGTGTGTTTTTTTTGTTTTGTTGAAATGGTAGGTGTAGTGGCTGGAGAAGCATTAGTTTAAACTCTTAACCTGAAATACAGCTTAGTGGAACAGCTCATTACCATTATCACGTGGCTTAACATGCTGATTAACTGTGATTATGGCAGTGGTAGAGATGAAACAAAAAAGATGAATTCTGATTTAAATGAACCTTGCAACAAAAAGAAGGCACTAAGATTACAGTAACACTTAAGCCACCTCCACAGATTTACATGCTACAGATAATCAGTGTACAATAACAATAGTGTTGGGCTCAAGCTGAGCTTTGGGGAGTACAGAAGTGTCTTTTAGTGAGGTTCATGTAGTTTTGGAGAGGACTTGAGATAATCCTGGCTGTCTTTGAGCATCTGTTTTTGCCATTAGCTTAGGATGCTTAGGTATGTAGAACCACATTCAGAAATTTCTAGAGAATTTTGAGTTTGTTACCATAATAATTTTCCCCCAAAATAAAAGTTTCAAGTAAAAGTTTTAAGACTGTGCTTGTAGCTTTGTCTTCTGAGCGTATTTTAAATGCAGGCTATTTTGAATTAAGCTCAAAATAAATTAATTCCAGTGATATTCATGTTTTCCTTAGCCTTCAAATCTTCAGCTGTGACTGCCTGTAAGTAATTGTATTGCAGATATGCAAGGGGAAACAGGATCCAGATAATAATCTTTCCTTGTTGACTCTTCCTAGCAAATAGGAATGAAAAAAGCAAAGATGCATTTAAGTCAGGCTGACACTACTTGGCATTTTCAACAAAACACCCTGTTAAAATGGCTAGAATAATTGTTATAAAACATATTTCAAGGACAGAACTTTTTAAAGTAAATTGAAAACTGAAACTTGTGGATTGTGTTTACTTAAAATGTTCCACTGTAGCACACAGTCAGCAGACAAAGAATCTGAACACTTGTGCTGCTTTTTGTATTTTCAGAGATGTCAACACTAAGTTATCAAAACTGATAGCCAGTTGATAGCTCAGCTCTCTGCCATATATGAAAACCAGTAAGTGGAGCAAAGAGTGGTGTCTGTTCTTGGGTGGAAGTGGATGTTGGTTCTGTGCTTTTTTAAAAAAATTATTTAAAGTGGTACTGCAGTTGATTTAGCACAGAGGAGGTGCACTAGTGTATTAAAGTCTTATTTTTTAATTGATGGGAAGTTGTGGAGCTTTTTTTTTTATCTGTAGTTGGAGAACAATATCCAGCACTGTAGAACACCCAGTTAATGTGGAAAGGCCCCAGGTGTTAATTGGTGGTTTGCTTTTCCCCAGTGAGTGCTATCGCCGTGTCGAGCTGTTGCGGAACCGCCAGGATCTGATGAAGGAGAAGTTAAAGGAAGCCATGAGATTAAGAGCGATGCAGGAGAAAGATGATGAGGCTGTTGGCAGTGAAGACGAAGAGGAATTGCAGGATTTGCTGTCCCAAGACTGGCGGGTGAAAGGGGCTCTGTTGTAGCATTTCTGCCATGTGGTTGATAGTCTCTTTATCTGTGATGTTACTTCCGTTGTCAGAAGTGAGACGCGTTTGTTAAATATTTATTTAAAGAGGATTGTGAGATAGTAAAGAACCAAATGTATTAAAAAGAGCCATCTTTGTAGATCTACAATGGTGTACTACTTGCTGTAAAAAATGTATATTGCAAAAGTTTTACAATATCAAATGTACCTTTCTTATTAAAATTATTGGTTTCCTACCAGAGGTATTTTAATGGGATTAATAATTAACTGAAGAAACTCTGAGGTTTTCGAAGCATTAGATATGTCTGGTAATTTTTAGACTCGGGTTGTTATGTATAGAAGTAAAGGACTTGCAAAAGTGATAGTGTATGGCATTTTCTCAGATTGGGGGGTTATGGGAAGGAAAATAGTCTGCATTTATGTTATCTTAAAATTTCTAAGTGCACTTCCATCCATTCCCATAGCTCCCAATAAAATGTATTTTTTTTTTCAGTATCTGTTACTTTGTGCACAGGAGGACTAAGTTTAGAAACGATGAGCTGCAGCTTCTCCATGTTATATTCTCTGTGATGTGCTGCTATAGGCAGTGATGAATATTTTTCTTTATAGTATCTTGTTTGCTTAGCGCAGCCATAGTGTGGCCTACCTCAAATGTCTTGAACCAGAGGGATGAAAACGTGGTTACATATTTGCATAACTAAAAGGGTGACAGAATGCCAAAGAGGAAGGTACTGCCCTGGAAACTGATGAGGTAAACTAATTATCTAGCTGTAGGTACTGGAAGTTTTCTTAAGATATTATCTTAGGCATGGAGAGCATCTAAAATTGATTTCCATTCTGACAAGCACAGATGAAGTAAAATTAAGAACCAACAAACTTTACAAGACTGGGGCACGGGAAGCAGAACTACTCTGAGGTTTGGTAAGTGTCTTTTTTTTTTCCTAAATGATGCATGTTTTTTCACTTTTGTGAATCTTAAAACAAATTTAACATTTGCAGAGGACTTGGAAAAACAGGAGAAATGTTTGGGTTTATTTTCATCAACAAGTCAAGTTGTGAAGGAACAGCTTAACATTTTCCTTATTTTTAAGACTCTATTTTTAAAACAAGTTAGTGAGGTTTTAAAGGGAGAAAAAAAAAGCTTTTTTCTTATTAGAGTTTTATGGACACTTGCCTCAAAGTTGTTTATTAACCAAGCAATAAAGAGAAACACTAAAACTAGATGTCTGATTTGCCTGTTTTGGAAGAAAGACTTGATAAGGTAGGAGCCCCTTCTGTATCTTGAGATGCTTGTTCACCACTCCTGCTTTCCCTGATCCTTGGGTTCAGCGCTTTACATTTATAAAGCTGTCAAAATTCAAGCAATGGTCCTTAGCAATTTGCTTAATCCATTTATTCCTGCTCATGTCTGCTGGCTTGCAGACCTTGGCTTTTGGTTGATCTAATAACCATGTGTGAGTAGCTGTTCCTGCTAAAAGGTTTGACAGGACAGTGCAGTCTTACAGAAATGGGTACTGTTGCTCAGGTAGTGATGTTCAGAGAGCATTGAAATACAGGATACAGAGACATTCAGAGAGTATTGAAACGAATGAATGTTTTGGCAATTAGGAGAGAACTCGGTTAGGTCAAAACTGAAATTAAATTCTCTTTTTATAGCATGAAACATTTGAGTATCAAGGTGTAAGGTGCTTATGACGCTGTAGTGAAAGATCTCTAGATCCATTTACCACTACAATGAGAACTTTCAGCTGAGAGGGTGGTACCATATTGACAGACGGACAGCTTTTTTCAAAACAAAAGACATTCTACTAATTTTACTCTGAGAAGAGCTAGGCCAAGTTTCTCATTGTTCTGCTTATCGTTGCTTTTCACTGACACCACTCACCAAAGCATGCTAACTTGTTACCACTGAACTTCAGAACCACTCTGCTTTTGTCTTAATGTCAGAAAGAGACATGACTAAAGTCAGGTTGGTTACACTGAGCATGATAGACATCTCTGGTGTTACAGTATAAAAACATTAATCTCTGAGTTTGTAACTTGCACATCATTTTGTACGTATATCTGTAACCTTACTTTCATTTTGTACCTGAATCTGCAAATCATGGTTTCAGCTGAAGATGAGGAGGAAAGGAACTGGGCATTAAACCAGTTGAGCTGGTTTAGTTCAATTGCCCTCCTCTTTAGAGCTCTCTCATGGTAAGAAGCTAAAGGCAGTGAGTTTAGTTACAGTGTGGGGAGCTTGTAAATTCAAATCCATACCTGTGCAGCCCATTGTTTTAATTATTAGGAATAGGTGGCAGGAGTAAACACCAAATCACACATCACTCTATTGGTTATCCTTGCATAACTTCTGTTGGAAGAGTAGAGATCATGGACCAGCCAGTGGGGGTGTGGGTTGTCGAGGAAGCAACTGACAGCTCTGGCCCCTTGTGGCTGTTGCATTTTTTCCCTTGGAGGAATCTCATAGATCAACAAATAGTGTTGTACACAAATTTTATACAGCTTATTGCGTACAACTGTACATTTCTTCAGCATTGTTTCAAAAAAAAAAAAAAGCTTTTGGAGAGCTTTGTGAAGACGGTAGGAGTGACTTTGCTATCTGAGTCCTATGTGACCAATGAGGAACATGGGCTGTTGTGTGAAGAAGGAAAAAAATCATCCTGCTTTTTAGCACTGGAAGTAGCATGGCTGTAAGGGAGAAGAGGGAATTATACCAGCCTTACTGAATAGTCAGGCTAATTATCAAAGAAAATGTTCTCCTGTGTCTTAGAGGAACACAGGCATAATTAATTTATATTTTAAGTCTCTCTTCAGTTTTATAAAAGAATTTTAGAACTTCTAATTAGCTATTCAGCTAGAGGATTAACCAGAGCAAATAATTTTTAAAAATACATACTCCCTTTAATTTCTTTTGAACGTCTTAACTTCTTTGAATTCTATTTTTAAACAATAAAGATGAAAGTAGTTCTAATAACTAGCACTGTCCATAGCCACTATTAAAAATGAAATTTTAATCTCTGGCATGGTGGAATTGAGAATATTTTAGTTCTCTTCATCTCCAGGACTTTCAGAGAACTGAAGAATCAGGATTAAGAGGGAAGACTTGGCATTTGTAATCCTTGTTTATTGTTATACTAATGGAAAGTGCTATCCAAAACTAAGAACTATGGAATGTCCTGCCACCGAAAATCGTGATTGCCCAGCTCGGTGTTTTTGAAACTGGTGAGTGGCTTCCATGGCCAAGCTGTGTGTGTGCTCGTGTGTTTGAGATGCAGCCCGAGCAGCAGCTGAGCAGGGAGCAGCCGACTGCGGCCACAGCTGCCAGGTGCCGGTCGGTCGCTGTCCTCGGGGGGCTGCAGCCAGTCCCAGGGGGATCTGTGTGCTAACTCCTCGCCTGCCACGGAAGAAATGAGCTGCTGCTGTCACGACTCAGAAGCAGACGTGGAAAAAGGGCTGAATTTGGTACAGAGGAGCCCAGCCCAAAAGTGACTGCGCAAAGCCAACCAAACCAAAATAACGACAAACAAACCCCTGTTCTCGCTCGCTAATGGGATTGTTTGTCATTCTTCCAGCAAAGAATATAATTTTAAAATTTGCTTCAGAATTACACGTACTGCCTAAAAAGAACATTAACATTAGCTTTCGTCAGGCCCCCTGTCAATAGGTTGAATTCCAGGAGAGAAAAATTCTGCATATTACATGCCACTGTAATTTTCTGCATTTTATCATCTTAAAAACACTTGGCTAGAAATAGGTCTAATGAGAAAAACCACATTATTCAACCATTTTCAGCACTTAAAAATACTTTCTTTTTTTCTTACAATCACGAAAAGTTGCATTAGAAAATCAGACCTTCAACCAACAGGAATCATGCTGTAGCTGTCATTAGAAACAATAATGGTATATCATGTTTCATAAGTAAGTTCCCCTTTGTTAGGTACCATCAGCTGAAATTTACACTTTCATTTTCTTTACTGCCCTGAGCCCTGTAACCAGGTTGCAGAGCGAGAGGAACCCACTGAACCAACACGGCCATGCCCCTTCCTGGAACCAAGCAGTACGTGCACTCCGGTGGCAGGAGAGGCAGCGTGTGCTTGTATCCCTGCAAAGGGTACAAGGCTATCTTGGTTATCTTAGCCTATCTATCTTGGCTCAGGCCAAGAGATGGGAATTTTCTGGTGTGAAGCAGTTTTTCAGTATCTGCCTTCACTTAATATTTTATTCATCACTTCGCTTAAACTATCCTGGCCTGTTAGCTGGGAAAAGAAGTGTGAGCAATCCCCCTGTGCAGATATCTAAAGCAGGTCTTACAAAAGTATAGGAGAGGGGCTAATGACTTGTGTAATTGGTTGTTGCAGCAGTTATGGAGGTTGTAAGAGGTGGTTGTTAAAATCCCTCCTCTATGCCATCCTTTGAACATACAGTTCCTGTGATCTAGTTGAGCAGCCTAAGAATTTCAGTCTTTCCTGTAGAAGCTGTGTCACTAGTAAAATAATTGAATGAGTGAACATATGTGCCTTGTTCCATAGTCCTGACACTCGCTTGAGAAGGGGAAGGTCCTGCTCCAAGTCCATAAATAGTGCAGAAATATATTCAGCTGAGTTTTGAGGCTATGCAAAAAAAAAAAGGATTTGAATCTCCCCTATCCCAGGGAAGTGTTTGTGTTTTCATACTGTTGGATATTTAAAAATGAAAAAAAAAAAAAAACAAGCAACCAAACAAAACCAATCCAAAAACAAAACCAGGGATGCTTCCATGCCTGTCTAATTTGGGTGGGGAAGGTTTAAGCCTGTTGTGTGCAGCCTCACAGAAACACCTTGCCCAATCAGCCGCGTGAGGCTGAGGCACTTACCAGGTGCCTACAATTCGTGGCACCAGTGGCATTTATGCTGTTTGCTCCTAGGAGCCTCCAGTGGCACAAACGTGCACCTTGGGGCCCATAGGTGCCTTCTGGCTGAGAACAAAGCACTCTTGCCAGTGGGCTGGGTTATGGGGCTGAATACTGCTAACTTTGTTTTCCCTCTGGTTGGCTGTTCCAGACAGCGTTCATACTTCTTTTTTTTTTTTTTTTTTTTCATTTGAGAAACACAACAGAGCTGCTTGAATTCATTTGAGATGTTTGCCAGAACGCTGACAGTGATTTGATGATGTGAAAGCTGCAGAACTTGAGCTGTCTTTCATTTGGAACCTCACAGTTGTGTAGGCAGCAACCTTTTCATATCGGGTACATGCTTCCTCTTACCTGCCTTTGGGCATGATTGGTTTGGTTTTCTGTCCTGGATATTTTTTTTTTTTCCCCTCCAAATGTACCTTGTGTTTTGTTTGCCTGGGTTGTTGTATTAAAGCTATCCAGGAACTTATTCCTGACATTCAGAAATCTTTTTCCAACTAAAACAATTCACCTAAAACAAGTCCCCCAATTAGCCTAGATTTTATCACATTTCTGCCAGTATTTTTTGCAAAAGCCCTCTCAAAGGACTTTTTTTTCCTTCTTTTTACCATGTGTCTTTACCTCCTCTCATTTCGCACACAAATATGCCTCTGCATTACTTCTAAATCTCAGTCTTGTCTAGCCAATGCTGCAAGGCACGTGGGAATTATTTATGTGAAAGATGCTCTGCATGGCAGAGCTGCTGGTGCCCTCTGCCTGGCAGCTTTACTGGCAGAGCAAAGCCTTGGTCTACTTAGAGCTGCAGTAATGTTCTCTTTTGTTTTCTTCATTTACACAAGCCAGGCTAGCCAGAGAGGTAGCTTTTGCTGTTGGGGAAATGAAGAGTATGGAGGTCTCTGCTGTGGAAGCAGCTTCAGCTCTCCCTTCAAGTGTGAGAAGTTAAATTTATTTGAAGTAATATAAAAATACTTTAAGTAATAATACCACAATTTAATCAAGGATAGTACTACAGCCTGTAGTTTTTCCAAGCTAAGGGTTGGAATAGCTAATTCAACACTGGTGAGGCTTCCTGGATGCTGGGATGCAATGAGGCATTGACATCTTTGGAAGCCTTTATTGCCTAGAGTTGCTTTGGCTGCATCTGTGTTGAAAAAGCTGTTCACTTCTGCACAGACTTCCAAGTTTTTATGCATGACTTGGTCATAGTGTGGTTCCAGGCTCCGACTCAAGACCTGGACACACAGTTCCCTGTACCTTGGAGTCCCTGGAAAATAATAGAGCTACACCTCACAAGTACTCATCTGGGACAGTGAGGGGAACCTGGACCCCAAGCTGCATACCTTAGGAGAGTAGGGATGGAGGCTGTAGAATTAGTCTCATGTCATGAAGGATGCTACTCACTTGCACTGCCAAAAACTGCCTTCTCATGAGGATAAAGCAATAAATGTGGAAGTACTGCCAATGACCTAAGAGGAGAGGTGGCCAGGAGTGCTGCATGCAGCAACAGTTGGGGGCCAGCCCCTTGTGTCACTTTCCTGTGAAGGGATAACTTGAGGCTGTGACTGCAGAGGAGCTGAATGGCTCAAGAAGAGTGTCAGGGCAGGATGAGACACTTCTCTGGGCCAGCTCAATTGTCATGCTCCTCCCAGCTGCTAGACTGGTTTCCTGGCTGGGTGAAAGGTGCTGTCTAGACGCCTGCTGGGAATGGGAAAACATGAAGGATCTTATCAATAATGTACCTGGTACACAAGTTTGTTCTTTCCTGCTTGCTCTTCTTTCCCCAGTACCTCAACTTAAAATCAGCAGGGGAGAACAGAAGACATACAAACCAGTGGCCTCTTATAGCAAGAAGCCAAATGCTATCTTTATGCAGTGAGAGAAGTTCTCTAAGAACAATTTTGGTTAAAAAAAAGATTTGCAGAAATACTGCTTACTCTACTAAAGACATAGTCTGGCCCCATGTAGTCGTGAAGAGACTTGTCATCCCTGACAATTGGCTCATGTCCTTTCTAACGTGGCCAGTGTTGCACAGTTGTTACGCTCTTTCCCAATGAGCACTGGGACCTTAAACATGATGATATGAAACCTTTAATCATTAATGAAGACAAGCAATTTGTCTACGATCTTAGTTTGACAATCCATAAAATAGTTTCTCTCAAATGACAAATTAGCAACTTGGTTACAAAGAACAAAGTTTAAACAACACAACAGTTATATGCACAAAGCTACCACTTTTTTTTTTTTTTTTTTAAATCAAGAAAAAGATTTATTTATAAAAACGTCTCATTTAATTTACTGTCAAGTCTCTATCTGAATACAGTGGTCTAGAACACTAACGGCCCATGCTTTTATACAGATTAGCCAAAGCATGAACAGCAATGAAAATTAACCCCCGAAAATAATTTTTTCTTTGCTTTATGTTATGAGCCACAACAGTGTTAAAACTGGAACAGTGGTGAAAGCAACACAAGAGTTAGGAAGCACAGTTGCTTAAAGAGTAAAGGAATTATTTTCTTTTGATGTCTCAGAATAATAAGAAAGTTAGAAATGGCAGAAACTCCTCTGTAGATTAGTCCATAGAAAGCATTGTCTCATGGGGCTTGGGAAAAGTCCTGTCTGGTGGCTAATGCACTAGGGCAGGATGAGATACATTACAGAGCCCCCAGGCCAGTAACTTCTGAAGACAGCCTAAAATGTAGGAACAAAAATGAGGAAAAGAAAAGAAAAAAAAAAAAAAAGGCAAAAAAAAAAAGAAAAAAAATCTTCTCACTATTAAAAAAGTAACACTTGAGTACAACCAGCATAGAGTAGCATTTCAATGCAGGCAAGTTTTCTCACACAGGGATTGGTGGTGGTTTGCTTTTGTTTTTTTTTTTTTTTTAAATCTCAGTTATTGAAACAATTACAATAGTCCAGAATGATTTTACAGCAGTTTTCTAGAGCAGTTAAATAGCTGAGGTACCTTGACATTATTTTTCCTTCATCGTATATGAACAAAAAAAAAAAAAATCCCTCCCCCCAAAAAAATCAACAGAACCGACCAAAAACCCCATTTGGATAAGTGCAAACTGTAACAGTGGCAGTTCTACAAATGGTTACAGCAACAGAACTTACTGCAAATGTGCTAAGGTGAAGAAAAGCCCACAGAATACAGAAATGACACAAAATACTGAGAGAGTACTTAGCCCTATACAATAATAATAACACACTTTGAAATACCATGTTTTAAAAAGTATTGCATTTGCATTGTGTTTTTAGTTTATATTAAAATGCACTGAATACAGTTCGATTGTTAAAGCTCTGTGTCCAAGGAGTGCAAAGTGGATGAACATGGCGGGCTAATGGGATTCTGGATTTGGAAGTGGTGAGGAAAACAATATTGCATTACTGAGTTATGCAACAGAAATTAAAAAGAAGGTGGATGGACAAACAGAAAATGCAGTTAAAAACTAGTTCCAACAGCTAGCAACCAGCCATTACATCACTCGGCTCGCTGCGGTTTGGCTGCGGTTGGGTGTCTGGTGTTACCTCATCTGAGCTGCTTCTAACAGGCTGTTAGCTGTGCAGGCAGCAGCCTTAGACTGCCCTTTGACAAGCACTAGGTTTGATTCATAATTACAATGCAACTTGATTGCATGACCAGTGGTGAGTTAAATAGGGATGTATTTTGTACAGAGACCTAACAAAAAAAGGTAGTCTTGGCTGAACAAAATAAATGCAGGAGTGAGTACCAGAAGAGAAACTCTGTGTGTTTGACTTGTACCTACTCTTCAGTACTTACAGAAATAAGTACTTTGTTGGTAAATATAAAATATCTGACTGCAAAACAAGGAGCCTGCTCTCCCCCCTCTAAAAACTCCTGAAGTGGACTTTTCAAAATCACACTTGTCCAAAACAGAGAAAAATTGTCGCACCTTTAAAAGAGTGAAGTGGCAAGGCACAGGTGCCTGAGGCTTTTTTCTCCATGTCTTTGACCCATTAACTTTAGCAGTTGTTCTTGGATCAGAGAGCTGGGTTTGGTGCCTGCAGAAGTGCCTGAGCTTTGGTACTTTCTGGCCCCCACCTCCTGCTCACAGGCCAGACCCCGGGGCGAGGAAGACCAGAGTCCTCAGGCCTGTTGAGACCGAGGGGCCAGCACTTCACGTGGGGCTTCAGGGGCACTAGCAATCACCACATTTGTGGGCTCTAGCAGTAGAAAAATTGACCGGAGGTGCCAATTTGTTGTAGAAAACTGTTCTGCAGTTGGAGGGATCCCTTCAAAGGGCTCTAACTGTATTGATATGCCAATCGGTATCGCTAGAGCAGGATTCGGCTGTCAGAATTTTGCCTCATTTACGTTTTTTCTTCCCAAGTGCCTCCTTGCTGGGTGGGGACAGCCCTGCCACGCTGTGGGGCTGCTGGAGGGCCAGCCCTGGCTCTGTGCCCCCAGCCTCGGGAGGGCGCCGGGGCGGGGGAAAGCCCCCGGGGCGGTGGGAGAGCCCCTGGGCCGGCTCCCGCCTGCTGTTGGAACTAGTTGGTAGGTGGTGCCCGGGTGTTAGTCGGTATGGAGAGCGGAAGACGCCTGGCGTCGGCAACAGTTAACACTAGCAACTGAACAGAAAAGAAAAGATGCCGTATTGTTTCCTTGATAGCTAGGATCTACCACAGACTCTTGGTAGAGCTGGCAAAGCTTGCATTGTGTCTCATCCCTTCAATATGGAGCAAACTTCTGGCGGTCAGATTTCTTAACCCCACTCGTCGAAGGAATTTTGGCAGTGTAAGCGGACAAACTCCCCGTGGCCCCCGCGGCGGCCGCGGCATTTAGTGCCAGGAGTGGGACAGTTTTCATGCCAAGCAGACTGGAGACAGGAACGGCATAGTGGGTGGTTGGCAGAGTTGGTAGGGGAGGGGGGGTACTGACGGTAACGGCGGAGGCGGCCGCCAGCACGGCCATGGAGGTGGGGGTGGAGGTAGGGGTGGCAGACTGAGAGAGGTTCATGTTGAGGTCAACAGGGGTCGTGACGGAAGCGGTCTGGGTGCTGACTTTAGCCATCTCTAAGCTGCAAACGAAGAGAGGAAGAGGAACAAACAGGTTGGGAGGGTCCAGCCAGGGCGGTGGGGCCAGGAGGAGGAGGAGGAGGAGGAAGGGACGGAGGGAGGGACAGCAACCACGAAAGGGCAGGATTAGATCGGTGGACAGACGAGTGGGAGGGAGAGGGGGAGAGAGAGAAAAAAAGGGAAAATGAGGGTCAAAGGAGGAACATGTTATGTGTTAAAGAAGAGAAATAACAAAAGGGTTTTTCATGGTTTGATGGTGGAAACATTACTGAGACTCTAAAGTTCTTTCAAAAAAAAAAAGGTTGGAGGGGTTTGCTAGTTCATTTTACATATGAAAAAAGAAATCTAAGGAATGCAGGTAATGGCAAAAAAGATGGAAAAAATGAAACTTAAAAGAAAACTTAAAATAACTATGAGGTTTACTCCCCAGCACTGGTATGGTGAATTTTGCTTTTCAAAATTATGGCATTTTTGAAAGGGGGACGCGGGGGTTTTGGTAGTTTTTTATTTCAATTTGTCAATTTTGTGACATAAATAATACCCTTTGTCATTTTGCTAGGATGAGAGGAGACTGAGCAGTGATTTGCTACTTGCATCTAAGGCATTTTGTTTGGTGGGGATTTTTTAGAAAGTTTTTCATTGCATTCACCGTGAGGTCAATGTGCATTTTTCATATAAAACAAACCTGATTAGCCAGTGTGTTCACTTCGGTTTGTACTTTCCCCAGATCTTTTTGTTTCTTTGTTAGTTTAAATCACAACAGAATATTTATTCAATATCTAATTATAAGGAAATGAACAAAAGGAAGACAAAAAACCGCCCCCGCTTCCACTGCAGCGGTGTCCTTTCTGAGCTCGTGGCAGTGGTTACAGTAAACACAGACGAGCTTACCAGCTGACAAACAAGGTACTACATAGATACAACACACACATCATCAGACAGGCCCCACCAGCATGAGGACATTCAGAACCAACCCCCCAGCCCAAGGCAGTGATGGGCTTTTTGGAGGACGTAGGTCTCAAACCACCTACTCTACAATCTAACTCCAGCTATCGGCAGGCAAGATGAGTTGGGCCCATGTATTTAGGCTTTTCTGTACATTTTTAGACATTAAAATACAGTCATTCCAAGGACGCATCGTATTTATCAGATGACAAAGTATTTATCTAGAGAAATCCTCCCTTTGCCTTTTGTTTGTGCTGATTGTGCACTGGCTTCTGGGTCGGCAGACAACCTAAATACTCATTTCAGGCTGTGCTTTGCATGTGACCAGCTGGGAGGTATGGCAGCCTAGCATATAAATAGGACTACAGGTTAGAAAGATCTTTGCTAGCTATAGTTACATGGGTATTAATTCCAAGTTTGGGTGTTTTCTCTGTAATTACTAACTTGTTGGGCTCCTGGGCTTTCTCCTGAGGTGAGCTGAGGAGCTGCAGCACCAGCTTCTCCCTCCCAGAGTGGAGTGCAAGTGAGCAACTGGCTAACCTACCGCTTCCCTATCAAGTCCCAGCAGGCCTGGGGCAGCTTCCCAGCACAGGGTTTGTGCTGGTCCCTGTTGGTGCTGGGGGCTGGGCATGCAGGCTGAGAGAGCAGCTCTAGCCAGCCTGCAGGTCCGGAGGGGAGCGTTGTTGTCCTGCTCAGGGCTTGGAAGAGCCTCACTTTTCCTCACTTTAGAATTTCATGCAGTTTTGAAGCAGCCCCTGGACTGGTCATGGCCAGAGAGAGGCAATGCCCAGGAAGGCCTGCCTGCTCTGGACAAGGGCAAGGATGCCAGCAACCAGCCAGCGCTGTGCAGGGGATGGGGATGTTGGACTGAAGCTTTCCAAAGCACTGCTGCTGATGGGGAACCTAAAGGATACCTGCAGCGGGTCTGAGCTGGGGAGAGGAGAGTGGAGGAGAGACAGAAATGCTTGAGCACCAAGCTCCTCTCTTCCCAGGGAAGGAGAGCTCTGGGAGCAGTAACTCCTCGGTGGCTTTTGCTGGGAAGTTGGCAGGCACACATCTGCTCAGAGGGGAGGAGAGTGAGTGCATGAAATGCAGCCCCGCTTGTGGGAGGTAAAGCTTTGTTTTTCCTACCCCATGGTGTTTATCTGTCCCTATGGATGAGCAGCTCAGAATTTTTCTGACCCTTGCAGCAGAGTTGTTCTTTGCAGAGAAGAGCATTGTGGTGCTGTCAGCCGCACTACGTGCGCTCTACTCGCACAGTGGGATTCACAGCAAGAACACTGGACCAGTGAATCCAGCTCCAGTGTACATCCTCAACTCGGGGTGTAGGAGTTACATGGTAATACCTTTAGAGGTTTTGAAAAACTCAGTTTATATAGTTGGATTTTAAAATATTTCTAACTCAGTATTATTCCGAGAAGGAGCCATGTAGCGTGACAAGGCAGGACTCGGTGTTTCAGTGACTCCAAATTTGCCTACCTTGCATGTAAGAAAAACAAACAAAAAAAGCCCTACTGACATGGGGTTTTTTGAGCCTGAGCTTTTTCCTGCACCAGCAGGGAGAATAGATCCCACAGGCTAAATGCTGACGTTGGTAGCAGTCACTGAAACTCCCTGTCTCTGGTGTACTCGTACAGGTATGATTAGAGCAGAAATTTGCCCCATTTCACAGCTATTACTGGTGGCAACACAAGGTGAAAGTACATCAGGTTAGCTACCAGCTGTCCTGTGACAGCAGCAGTTTCCCAAACCAATTGTAGATGCAGCAAAATTGAATTTGGAAGCGGATGAGGCAGGCTTCATACAAAATACCACTGTGCCAATTTCACACTGTCGCTTTGAAGACCTGCAATTTATAAATATATACACCAAATGCCACATCCTGCATTACCCAAAACTGGTGAAAGGAATAAAGCTCGAGTGTAGCTTTGGTGATCCTGTTAGCACTGTGACTGAACCTCTCATCAAAACGGCAGTAAAAAATAATATCTTCAGGAAATTGCACTTCAACAAGGAGCAAGTGCTGCTGGCTACGATTCATTTGTAATCCAAAGTCAGATATTACACAGGAAACCTAAAATGCAGTTCCTTCTTAGTAAAAGCTAGAAGATGGAATTGGGTAATGAAAATCCAGGTACTACAGCAGAAACCAGCGAAGAGAAGATGTTACAGGAAATAAAGACACTTTTACTGCAAACAAGCTAGGACACTTTCTACTCGTACAGAGGTCAGCGCTCGGGTAATCGATACAGAAGCAAACCAATAGTTTATGAAGTTTTAAATTTGTCTTGATATTGTATCACTGTACTTGTATATCTACAATTTAGAGTATATTATGTACATATTTGACACCAGACTGCAATGAAAGCCTTAAAACAATATGATAAATTATTCTATAGATGGCCACTTTGGATGGAGGATTATTTAAAGATGCACACAGAACATTTCAGGAATGCTGTGGATAGATTTTTGGTTTTTACATCCTATGCTGCTGTGAGACATTGATTTATTCAGCAATACTGACCCTGGAAACCAAATACACAAGAATGGCAGATCTTGTGGGGGAGAGGGGAAAAAAAAAGGCCACCTTACCCTGAATACTTATATGGCTTTTATTTATTATAATTATTAGTTTGACAAACCAGACTGTTCCTTGGGCAGTCTAGGTACTGTACTCAGCTCTTCCCCAGCACTGTTTATTTCATGCCAACATCTTTAAAAGAGACAGCAGCACTTGTGGCAGGCTTAGGACTGACAAAGGATGAAACTGGCTCCCAGCAGGTACAGGCAGTGGCAGCCAAGACCTGCCTCTCAGAAACCTGCCCGAGCCCCTAAACCCCAGCTAGAGCAGACCTGCCTCTTGCCTGAAAGTTTCTCAGTTCTTCTTCCAGTGCGACTGTGAATGAGCACTGCCGCTGGGGTGGCACCTAACTGGACAGAAATTTCTCTTGTGAAGGAGAAATGTGGAGCAGTGTCTCTTTTTGAAATTAAAAAGCCACCTTAATGTCCTATGTTACCTTAGAGCTTAATTTATTATACATTACTTTGAATCTCCATTTACAAATGAAGTCACTTCATCTAAATACAGTTTCAACACATGGTACATAATAATAGATGACGTTTTATTATAGATGATGGTAACAAATGACTTCTATCTAGAAATTCAACAGGAAGAAAATATGGTTCTGGTTTCACAGGGTATAGGTAGAGTATCCGTAGTATATGACTGCTGAGTTTTCTTCTTTGCAAATATACGTTAAAAGACCTCGTATATATCCCATTCCATCAAAAGAATCATTAAACAGTAATAAGCAGAAGTGTGAGAGTTCACAGGATTTCCTAAATTGAGTCAGAGGTTTGTTCACTAGAGTTTCTGTCTCTGGTGAGCAGCTCACTGCAACTCCATTAATAAGTAAGTGCATTATTTTATCTGCATGCTTTAGCTGTCTTGAAGATCTTAAATTGTTATCTTCTGAGATCCAGATGCATGCCATATGGTGTTTGTGCAACTAAAAATGAAGGGGTCTATTCTCGTCTCGATGTGTGGGGAATCCCTGAACACCAAGAGAAGAACATATCCTTAAGGGTTAAAGGAGGGAACACATTTTTATTTGATTACAGGGCTTACGGAAGTGACTTATATTTGCTACAAAGAATATACATCAAATGAGCTGTAGGTTGGTTTTAGGATTCTGGAAACAGCTTATCTTAGGCTTGACGATGCCACCTCTCGATATATCGTTCCCTAGGAAGCTACTTTCAAATTGTATTATAAAAAGTAATATTTTTGTTTGCTGTAGCACAGAGATGCACAAACATCCTTTTCCTCCATTAAGACATTTACGGTGGCTTGCCGTGGTGCCCTACAGTACTGGGCTGAAGAGGAGGTTGGACCACAGGAAGCTGTAGACCTGCTGTGACTACAGCCCCCCCATATAAATCACATACATTCTACTACCTTAACAGCAAACATAGTTAAACACAAAGCTTGATTCATATCACAGCATTTTGGGGACAGGGGGAAAGAAAAAGGGAAAAAAAAAAGGCAATAAAATACATAGATACTCCCCCTTCCCACAAGAGCTTGCCTTAGGTCACCATTTACAAGTAGATTTAGGAGACATCACTCCATACAGTATACTTTCCTCTCAGGATAATTGCAAATAAAGTTGGTATGAATTTTAGCATTTTTCTAAATAATCATATCAAAACTGATAGAGACTTAAGCAGTCACAATGTCTTAGTTAAACAGCCAGTGCTTCCATTTAGTTCTGGCACTGAGCAGTGGAGAAGCAGATAGTACCACCCTGCCTCATTAGGGAATACTTTTTACAAATTTGTGATGCTGTCTCTGAAAAAATGAATCCCATGTCCCTTTAGCAATTAAACACCCGTTTAAAATCAACTCTGAGTGGCAATTTCCAGTTAGTAAATTAAACCTGGTTTGCAATCTGTTTCACTACATTTGCCATTCAGGACAGTAAATTAACTCTATGAATTTTTTTTTTTCTTCTAAAGCATTTACAATTGTCATTTAATTCATCTGGCTATAATTTAGGTGGATGCTATTATGACTATACCAATTTTTTAGCTTCTGTCATTCAACATGTACCTAGAATTGCACCGGATTAAGCTCCTTTCCATCTAAACCAACAGTAAACACAGGCTCTAACGTTAAGGCTTTACAGATCACTATGAACTGAATAATACTAAGCCAAATGGACACTGCCAAGCAACTTTCTGGATTTATCCAGGACAGACATTTGCTGCAGAGCAGACAGAGCAATCTCACAGAAGCATTATCACTTACAAAACAAACTTACCTTGCATTAATGAGGTACTGTGCTAAGCTGATGTTTGCAGGGGATCCTGTGATTGTAACTTGTCGTTCTGCGGAGCCTTCTGTGGCATTAGCAATCTTGATCTGTGCTCCTGACATCTGCCTGATTTCATTTATCTTACTGCCTTGTCTGCCAATAATGCAGCCTATTAACTGGAGCGGGACAAAGACTGAGATTAGTGCCACAGACTCAAGCAAAACCCACTTAACTGCAATTTGTAATATTGCTAAAAACATTGTTATGAAAAGCTCGATCCCAAACTAGAAGATTTTTGCCGTGCCGTTTGGAAGGATATAACTAGTGGAGTCTTTTGGCTCTGTGGTCGTACATCTCTAAATCAAGTTTTGCTGCTACACGTTTATCAACTCACTATCAGACTATTCTGCTGCCTCCTGTGGCAGAAAACGACAGTGTGCCGTGGTGCTGGCAAATACAAAGCACAGCCCACCCAGACTTGCCCGTGGCAGCAGGAAGCTGAGATCAGGAGCTGGAAGTCAGGCTGACCTCCCAAAGCTGCTGCTGTGTGGCTCTGCACCCATCCTCCACCTCCCTGGGCACACATGGTCCTTGCCTGGCCCACGTGGTCCTCACTTGGTCAGATACTGCCCTATTAAAGTCAGTGGGATTTACAGCTCACTAACTGCAGGGAGAAGTAGGTGTAGGAAGGGAATGAGATTTGTCTGCGTTCCTTTACAGAAATTTACCTAAACTTCTATTTTTGTGAATAAAACTGAGCCTGAGTTGCCTCTGTGTGTGTATCCCCAGATCCCCTCAATTTTTTTGGTAAAATTGCCTTGGTGTTGTCTTCAGTTAACAATGATGTTTTTAAAGGTTGTTTAAATGCCCTTGGTGGCCACGAGGTTTTGGAAGCTGCGTGCAAGACCTCAAGAAGGTGTTTAGCAGCATGGGGAACCGCTGCAGCTGGGCTGAGGGACAGTGGTGCCTGTGCCAGGGTGTCGCTCCTCCAGCACAGAGAGTCCCCTTTGTGTTATGGAAGGATGGGTGCTGGGAAGCTCAGCAATGGCCAGAATGGGCAGAAAACAGACTCTTCACTCTACAGGTCTGTTGACACTGGGATGATGGTGCCAGTTTGGCAGAAGGACATACCAAAATGCAGTCTCCCTTCTTTTCCCACCCTTCCCACTGCTTCAGGCCCTAATGTTTTACCCTCACTGGTACTGAAGTATTTGGAGTATCTTGCCAGAAACAGACTCACATTGCCCAGACTTCTTATTGAAAGAAGAACCTCCCTGCAACGTAATCCTTGCTCCGTTCTCAGGGATAAGCAGAAAGACAAAGCAGCTACCTGGGTAGCTGAAACAGAGACCAAGCACAAGAGGAGCACCCACAAAGAAATAAAACGTGATTTCAGGAAACGCACAGAGGATTTCTTGTCCTGTTCCAACACAAGGGCCTCGCCAAGCTGCCTGGCCTCATCCTGAGTCTTAGTGGGTGACTGCCCATGCCAGTGCAGACGACCTATGTGAACTTCACAAGGAAGCCTTTAGCCTGTCTCTCGTGCACACAAATGTGCCAACAGGAAAGTGTGGGCTGCACGTATTCCCTCAGCCTGTCCAAAGGAGAAGAATGGAACTCTGATAAAATTCTTGGTGTCAAAAACATACACTAGCTGTTAGCAGCACAGGGATCCCTAAGCATCTGCTCCCTTCGCCTCAGGCTCTCTGGCCTCCGTGGTCCACAGCTAGTGAAGGTGAAGGCGGGGAGCAGAGGAGGCAGAGCTCAGGGGGGTGCAGCCAGTGCCAGCCAGCCGTGTGGTCTGGTTTTCCTCAGAGCCTGCACCAGCTTGAGGAAAGCCAGGGCAGTTCTACCAGAGCATCGCTGCACAGCCAAGCTGGCAGCACTAGAGCCACTGTCTCTGTTAAAACCCGGGGACAGCCTTCCATAATGATGTCACAATGAATCATCTGCATGCTGTACTGTAGCTCTTTGCCCAAATCAGGTCAGAAGTGTTCCCTACTGCAGAAGCAGAATGGAGCACAGAGTGAGAGACAGCCATGGGCCATCTTGACTGCTAGCCACAGTTGTTGCCCCAGACATCAGAGTGTCTTGAAACACCCAACAGGAGTGGAGACTGTATTTCCTTATACAATAATCAGCATAGAATTGTTTTTTGTGATCATGATTTTAAAGCAACTGATCAAGAATCTGTCTGTTGCTACTGTTGACTTACGAAGCAGTGACCAGGATTTAGGCTGTGTGAAGCAGCTGTTATGGTGCCTGTCACATCTTCAGATTCCTCTGAATACTTCTCACCCGATTTGCAGATCTGAATATGCTTCTCGTTGCTTTAATAACTATGTCCCAAGTGTCTGAAGTGCTGGGGTCTAAAGCCCCAGCCCTGAATCAGGGTTGACATACGGATGATGCTATGTGATTGGAATTGGACTGGTCCCCAGGCTGCTGAGTTGGTTTGCTCATGTCTTTACTTTGTCCTGCACTGTGAGTGAAAGTATCAGTCTTTTTATTCCTCTGGTTCTTAGCCATGTCATATCCTCTTTGTATGCTTTAGAATTGGAGGGGAAAATCTGGCCTGTGTGCTGGTTATTGATGACAGTGTCCTTCCTATTGGGGCATGCAGTCAGCAAAAGAGTGTCAAAAGGAAAATGTGGACTGCACACATTCCCTCCGTCTGTCCAAGGCAGAAGAGTGGAAACCTGATAAAGTTACTTGGTATAAAACCCATGTAACTACTGCTGGGTAGTCTCTAAGGAGACTTGTAAGCCAGGCAGGTCAGTACAAAGGACTGGCAGTTGCTAAGCTGATGCTGAGTTAGGTAGCGAGGATCCAGTCCAGACGGAGGCCAAGGATGCTGGTGACACACGCCTCTGGGAGGGGGGCTCGGCCACCTTCAGTGTGAAGTGCTCCGAAGTCATCCCGTGATGCTGTGACAAGGGACTGCTGAATATACTCTTGAAGCTGTGACACAGCCTGCAGATCACACGGAATACACTTCTCCATTTACCATGAAGGAAGCACAGCAGTGCTGGGGTGCTTGGGTGCTCTCTGGGATGACTTTCCCACTACCTATGACACTGAAATTTGTGCAACATCTGAATATTCAAGAGCTGCTGAGTTCTGGAGAAGTTCAAGGGACTGTTTTTCATCTACAAGGCTTTGATCAATCATCACAGACATTTGGTTTTACATAGAAACACCTGCTGTGCCTTATTTTGAGGTGCAGCCATGTCAAATTGCATCCACAAACGTATGCCCTTTCAAGGCTGACTTTTCTAATGCTGTCAGTTGCCTCCCTGTCATTCTGTAGCTGGCCATTTCACATGGTTTGGTGGGCTACGTGTAATTCAGTCCCACAAAAGTCCCTCACCACAAAGCCAAGCTTCCACAGACTTTGAAAGCTGCTACTTTGCATGCAATGCTGCCTGTTTCACAGACATGGGTTTGCTGCTCTTTCAAGGTCAGTACATGGCATTCAGGAATAGGGAAGACAGTAAACAGAGCTGTTCTCAAGGACTTTAGGTGCCATATTACTTTTGATGCTCACCTGCTTGCTCAACATAAGGTGAGTCTTGCTCTCACTTACAGAATAAAGCAAGACCAAATTTTCCAGAAGACCAGGGATAAAGTTGGCCCATGTAAGAGAGAAGCCAACCTACTACTGACGATACCAAGCCTAATATGCACTATAGTATAATATGTATGCTATTAATATATATGTATAACATATAATATACACATATGTACATACATACACATAATATGTATATGCATACATATTTTAAGTCTCTCAAGACCTGGGTGGAACAGCTCAGACTAGATGTACACCTGGCCCAGCAGCCTGTCTCTGCCTGTGGCAGTAGCACACACTTGCAAAATAAAAGGATGAAAAGACTGTGAGGTATAAAACCAAATTTCCACTGGTATCCCAAATTCCCTCCTAAGGATTACAGACTACCTGAGAAGCAGCTGGTATCTCTGCCTTTATGGTCAACAGCCCATGTCTCTGGCAAGTTCTTTTTGGAACTGTATCTCCTTCTGCTGTCTAAGAAAGGCCATAGGAGTGACCTGCAGAACTTGGTCATGTGTGCAGTCTAAGTATCACCATTTGTACACCTCAAAATTTCAGTTGATGTCCTTAGCTTCTTGGACTGTGAGCACCAGGGAAAAACTGTTCCCTTTTCACTATCTTCCCCTACCTGAGTGTTCAGGAGCATTTCTTCTCATGCCAAAAAAAAAACCAACCCCCAAAAAAACCAACCTTAAAACATGGATTCTGCTTTTTGGCTTTTTTTCTGGTTTTACTCTGTGCTTTGGTGAAGTTCTGCTGATAGCAATATAAAAAGGACTGAGCCAGAAGTCTGGACTCTGAAAGGGTGGGACTGGAAGGCCTGCTGTGATTCCTCCCACCCCAAACTCTGGATGCTGATAGCTTCCCCCAATACACTGACATCTCTGGTTCAGGTCCCTCTCTTATATTTTTTTCATCTCTATAACGATAAACGTAAATGCTAAATCTGTATATTTTCCCTCCATAATGCTAAAGTCACCGACTGAGCCTAATAATAACAGCTTTCTGCTGCGTGTTGCCTACAGGTTTACACCTCTATGTCCGTCACACTGCATTATTTCTGTGCAGCACTGAGAGCAACCAGATTTCTAGTTTTTGGTTTGTTATCCAAGTCCAGTGCTGTAGAGTATTGCTTGTCACAGGAAGTAGCATGGAGCTCTCTTTCTTTTTAAATACTGCTAAAAAAATTAAATTCCTTTCTTATAATGAATATAGTGCTGGTAAAAAGGGCCAAGGAAGTAGCCTCTGCAAGCTGATATCTGCTTTCTGGAACACAGGGGTTGACCACACCTGCCTACAGGTACACGTGGTTCCCCTTTGTACCCTGCTGCCAACCCAAGGCAACTCCATTTGCTTTGGCAAAAGCTCTGCATTAGTTGAATAACCAGGTGCTCATCATGAAGGAGACTCTTCTATCACTTTTCATAAAGATACAGGCTTTCCTCATTCCAGGTTGGAGTGGTTTTGTTTTTGTTTTGGTTTTGGTTAGAAATGCTGGGGCAGAGCACTCTGTCGGGAGAAATAATCTCCTGATGCATGATTACAGTTCTTTACAGACTTACTGCAGGGCCTAGAAAGGGATGCTTAAATATGCTACGCTTCTTA